AATTTTGTTAGTCTTAAAGGTGCTACTGGACTCTTGCCCTTTCCTACTGCTACAGACAGACTAAGACAGCTACCCATCCAGAAATTTAATGTTTGCTTTGGCAACAACTCCCACCACAGCACAATGAGCTTCACCATGTAACTGAAGGCTGGCTCTGCCTCCAGAAGCAACTTCCTGGTATCCAGAAGCAGCTTACATTTCCCATTCACCAGCCAGTGGCACCTTTAAGACCAACAGCGTTTCCATTCCATGTGGCTATATGTGGTGCCTCCCATGAATTCAGGTGGGGTTGCCATGTTGGTCTGAAGTAGCAGATCACCTGTTCTGCTGCTTCAGACCAAGACGGCTACCCCACCTGAATCTATTGCAGGAATAGTTAAAGATGCTTGGGCCCACCGGGTAGCAACCTCCACATGGAGCCTGGAGTTGTCCCGGCATTGCAGCAGACCTCCAGATACAGAGATCAGGTCCCCTGGAGGAGCCATGGAATCTAGGAGAAATGGAAATCCTAGAGTGGCTATCTTTAGTGCCAGTTTGGTGTAGTGCCAGTTTAGAGCCAGTTTGGTGTAGTGGTTAGGTGTGCAGACTCTAATCTGGGAGAACGGGGTTTGATTCCCCACTCCTCCACTCACAGCTCCTGGATGACCTTGGGCAAGCCATAGTTCTGACGAGCTGTCCTTGAAAGAGCAGTTCTCAAAAGAGCTCTCTCAGCCCCACCTACCTCACAGGGTGTCTGTTGTGGGGAGGGGAAGAGAAAAGGAGTTTGTAAACCGTGACGTGATCTGGTCCATGGGGTCGCGAAGAGTCGGACTCGACTGTGCGACTGATCAACAAAAACCGTGACGGGCGGGGTATAAATCCAGTCTCTTCCTCCTCCTCCTTGATTTCCATTTCTCCTATGGGGTTCCATAGAGACTCTATGATGTACCACAGAGACTAGGAGAAACCGATGGTCCCCTGTAAAAACACTAAAGGCCAGAGGCCAGTTGGGGATTTAGAAATGGATGAGACTGCTCTTGGCCAGCCATCCCCCATGGAGACTTCAGACTGGATTTTTCTCCTTAACACTGAGGAAAACCTGAAGACAATTTTTAGAGGTTTTTAAGGTTGAGTGGTTTTAGGTAGGAAACTGAGGGTTTTTTTTAAAAAAGAATTTTGTTGGGAGGAATTGATCTCAGGTAGGAAAAAGCCTTTAACCTGGATGTGACATCACAAGTTTTAGGGGCAGGGCTTAAAGGGGTTTGGAGGTCTTTGGTGACTTTTGCTGATGCTCCGTAAGGCTAACATGCTTTTGGTGGCGTGTGAGTGGTGGTCAGTTGTTACGGTGGCACAGACAGCCTGATATCTTCTCATTACTTGTATTGTACTATTGTGAAATGAGATTTGAGTGTGTTTTAATGTTGTAAGCTGCTTCGAGTCCCATTGACTAGGAGACAAGTGGAACGTAAATATTTTAAATGAATTTGACGATGGCTTGTGGGTGGATGGGGGCTGGGTGGGAACATTCCCTGATAGCCTTCCATTCTCACCCCAGAGGCAGCTGCATGGTTGCACAGCCGGCGGATGGCCGGATCAAGGATCTCCTGGTGGTGTCAGCTGTTCATCAATTGCTCCTGGGTGCATTCCAAGTTATGACTGGAGGTTAATTGCCTAATACTCTGGAGCAATGTGTGATTAACTCTTCCTTGCCCAGCTGCTTCCCAGATAAACTAGTTGTCACCATTTTGGCGCCCAGTATTGTACGACAGGTGCTGATGCAGTGATGGAGGAAAGCTCTGCCGGCTGAATTTCTGCCTGCCCCAGCAGGAAAAGGAGCCACCCTCTTGGAAATCTGTCTTGCGTAATTGTGTCTGTGCAGAGAACACATAATGATGTCATCAGGCCATTCTTACTGCGTTCTGAAAATCAGGACCCCCCAAATGCTCTTTTTCCCAGCACTTTGTGAGAGCAGTGGCCATATGCCCCTGTTGCTGTTTGCCTCCCTCCCCATAGAGTAGAGCCGGACCCAGCCTTTGTATGTGCCCCTGGATCTAGCCTACACCAGGACTGCCAGCAATCAGCTGTAACAATGATCAGACTGCAGCGCAGGCCTCCTTTGCAAGCCCTCTGTGCAATCTGGATTCCTCTCTGGCAGGATCAGGTTTGCTGAACCTTTGGAGTGTCACAATTCCAGGGGGTATGAAGTGGTAAGTAGGTCACAATGTGGTGCAGTGGTTGGAGTGTTCAACTAGGATCTGGGTTCAGATCCCCACTGGGTTGGCTT